ACTACTTTTATTACGAATCAATAAATTCTCTAAAAAATTTTACTCTGAATCATGTTTTAAGCTGTCATAAAAACTATGACAGTCAGTAGGTATTACTGACTTTAACAGCTGCAAATGTTGCCATTTTTGAAATTTTATTTTTCGTTTCTCTTTATACATTTGTGGCCATTCTACCATTTGAGAAACAGGTTTTTGTCGTTGTGGAAGTTCTCGCCATTCATCATCAAAATCCAATTTGTAATAAATGTTTCCATTCGGCAAATATTGGAGAGCTCTAATATCGGTGACCACAGGATCATTTGTGACCTTAAAGGGAAAATGACAGGCAGTTATAAAGAATGTTTCATAGTATTACTAATTTTTACCTTTCCAGGTCTAATAGATGCATATCTTTGATATTTCTTGATTGAGTAATCTTTAAAATTAAAATATTGCATACATTTAACTTCATATGGAAAGGGCTTCATTCTTGCTTCCTTTGTTATTCGTAGATAATCACTAGGTAAATGAATGTCTCGTCCTTTTAATTTCATTTCGATGCAACTGTGAACTGTGAACTGAGTCGCATTCCATTTGTGTGTGTCCAACTTCGAGAAATTTTTGAATAATTTCTATGTTATTATTTACAGAATAGTTTAATAATGCATTTGCTATAATATTATTTCTATTTTGGTAAGTACATCCATCACTGTAAATTATAATTGGTCCAGATTCATTCTGACAGTCTGTTGTTAGGTATTCCATAATGCAAGAAGCAAAAGTCGATGCAGTCATATCTGCTTCAGTTTCACTAAACCAAAAACACTTTGCCTCATGCGTTACTACATTATAAACTGTAAAATTGTGGCAACACAGTTTTAACTTAAAAAATATTGTGCTGGCTTGGACATACGGACACACTTTTACAGCTTGTAAATCCATTGTTAAAACCCGACCTTTTTTGTTCATTTTTGCTTCTTCCTTATCTCTCTTTTTTTCTTCACGAGCCCTTTCTTTTTTACGTCTGTGCGTATTCCATTCTTTGTCTGATAATTGACCAACTTCATGTTTTGTGCACAAATCACATTTATCCTTTTTAATGGGGTGAATTGACAAGTTCATAGAATAAAACATTTTGCTAAAAATTGTTCTCGACAGGGTTACTTTGTTTTCTTCTTTGCACTTAATTTCGTATAACTTAAATAATTGATTTAGGCTCCGGATTACCGTTTCTAAATACAATTTACTAGAATTAGAACGTCCATAATGTGAAGGCAACTTTGGTAAACAATCAAAAAATTCTTTTAATAACCTCTTATCTTCCACCTTGTCCTGTCGAGTGGTTCGTTTGTTTGATTTGTAGGTCAAATCAAAGCTAGAAGTCATACCGTAACATCCCTTTTGGAACCAATCATGAACGGAATATTCACCTATAGCAAGTGTTTGAAGAAACATTTATTTACAAACTTGCACTTTGTTCATATTTATTGTGAGAAAATATTTTAAGGAATATTGTCGCCTACTCTCAAAGCTTTTAGTATACGTTCTTTTTGTGACAGTTTTTCATTTCACTCCAGAATTTAGTAAATATGGCATTGCGCTGAACGTCATTAATTTCTGAACAATTCCTGGATTTTACTTTAAGGCACTCTTTTGATTTGCAAGAAGAACCCATTTTTCTTGCTTCTTTTGGAACATTCTGTTTTACTTTACCTTCTTTAGTTCTGCTGTACCCCATGTACGCTTTTCCTTCCATTCGGCTCCTTTTTGCAGAATTTTTTGCCCATTTATCAGGTTGAGCAGTAATACTTCTTTTCCTTCCTTCCGTTATATTGCCATGATTGATATCATTTTCTGTTAATGTCTCATCCTGTTTTGTTTTTTCATCTTTTTCAGCATTATTTCCTTGCTCTTCGTCGCTATCTGATGTACCATTTTCCTTTTTAGGTTCGTAGTCATCGTCATTAAAATCATTGTTAACACATTCTTCGTCTTTTCGTGCATCTAGCTCCAACATTTGAACATCTCTTAAATCCTCAATTATAATATTTTCAACAGGTTGCAGATGGCTTATATCCTTCAGCTCCTCTAGCTTCAAATTCGTAATTACATTCAAATTAATTAAAACGCAAACAATGTTAGCATAGTAATGCAAAATAAATAAGTGCAAATATTTTTTGTTAAATATAATAGACTTCGTTATTATACATAATAATTTAATATACTTACCGTAACTATTTCCAT